CAAGAAGCCTGCCACAACATAAATGTACCCTATTCTTGGCAGGTCATATATATATATATATATCCTGCCAAGAATAGGGTACATTTATGTTGTGGCAGGCTTATGCAATGTATGATCATATACTGTAACTAAACCTCCATTATTTTTTGCCTAGGTGAGGTGTTTTTAAATAAAACTATTACATTCTGTAAGACTTGAAAACTTATTGTCCACGACTACAAATAAATATATATATATGAAACCAAGAGGGCTGCACTCACCAGAACTTGCATACATTGTAGCGTGCTGCTAGGGCCAAAATACACAAAATACAAAATCCAGCGCACTCGCTTATTCACACAACAATGATTTCAAATCTTAGAGATTGTAATAGTTTTATTTAAAAACACCTCACCCAGGCAAAAAATAATGGGGGTTTAGCTACATTTTATGATCATATATTGTATAAACCTGCCACAACGCTAATGTGCCCCATTCTTGGCAGGACCTACTCTAGCAGTCTAATGCTTGCTCTTATGATATTAATCCACTTACTTGGGAAATACTTCCTTTCTGGGACTCTCTGCAAGTCAAGGCTAAATAGGGTCCTGGAATGATTAGCCTTGACTTGCAGAGAGTGTGGAATAGGTAAAGCGTCAAAGGTAATATGGACATTTTTATTGTGTGTATGCCCCCTAACCAGGAAATGTCGATTTGTTCCCACTTGGACAATTGTGATTTTTAATTTTTACATTTTTATTTATTATATTTTTTATTAGTTTGTTTTGTATATGGCATAGCGGTACATGCTCACAAATCTAAAAACGTCTGAACATATACATTAGCAATAAACAATGTACTATATTGTAAGCACACATAATGTTAATGGCCATCAATATGTTAAACATTCCAAACAGTGGACATTAGATAACAATTTGTGCTACATTAAGGGAAATAAATGTGAATCATTTTACATTTTCCCTTGACTTCTTATGCTATGCACCATATACCATGTGGAAGTTTGTGTCAGCGCAATGAGCACAGCATATTGCTCCGTTTATATGAGCATAAGATTCATGTTTAGGAGTAGAACAATAAAACAAACCAAAACTGAAATAATAATTATAGTTAAAACCTCAATCACATCCATCGTAGTACCTGTAGTTCACTTTTCTAATCGTGGGGCGTAACGGCTTTTAATAAGCCTTGATCTAATCGAAAGGTGTCATGACCTGACAGGGTGTTTCTAAAGTTTTCATAGTGGGAGCCATCGATCCAAATGATCATGTCAATACCCCAGAAAAGATTTTGCTAGACTATATATCCAATCGGTCACTGTGGTGTCCATAGCTGTGGCATATAATGCATTCTTAACTGAGGTGGGTTATACATAAAAGAGCTTTACCATGGCAAAATTTAAAATAATGCATTAATGGGTTGGCAGAAAAGAAGAGCGACCCCAGCAGGGAGAGCCATCAATTCTGCTGTCCTGCAGTCTTCAGCAACCGGTGTAATCCTCCCACGGTTGCCAGATTTTAGTGAATAGTGTGTGTGTCGTACCTGTGCTGTGAGTTTGTCCATGAGATATTTCTCTTTTATTTTATGTGTGACCGTGTCCATCTGTGGCATGACTACTTGCAGCCACGTTTGTGCCATCGCCCTTCTGGCTGCAAGATTGAGTTTATTTACCAGTTTTTGAACTCTTTTTGTAAGGCCGTCTAAGGGTTTTGCTAGGAGGAAGGTCCATTGGTCTGTCAAGATGGGTCTATGCATTATCTCCGTTAGGAGCCGTTCTACCAGGTTCCAGTATCCCACCGACCTTGGACATGTCCACCACATGTGTAGGTATGTGCCCTTCTCTCCACATGCTATCCGACATGTGTCTGTGGTAGTCTTCCCCATTCTACATTGTTTGACTGGTGTGGTGTACCATTTTGGTGTAATACGCATACGGATGCCTTTGCGACCGCTTCCCATATGTCCTGCCACTCCCCGCTGTCTAATGTTTGTTGTAGGACCGCTTCCCGTTGTGTGACATATGTGGGGACATTGTCTTTATTGTCGGGCACGCTTAATTGCGCGTACATAGTTGTGATAAGGCCTGTTTTGGGCCCCTCTGTCATGCACAGCCTTTCATAAAATGTTGCTGCAGCTCTAACCTGAGGGTGTCTGGCAAAGTCTCTAAGTTGTATATACCTAAAGTGATTTTTGGTTGTCAGTGGGGCCAGTGTTTTTAGGTCCTCAAAGGATCTGAAGGAGTCTGCTGTGTTCATTTGATAGTAGCACTGTATGCCTGTATTTTCAATGCCCCCGAATTCCCTAGCACTCAACCCTGGTTCCTGAGGTATGGCATCAATGGTGATGGAGTGCTTTTAAGGGAATATTTGCGGGCCATAGCATCCCAAATTCTTATTAAGTTTAGTTTGGCCAGGCAACTAGTGCGGACGTCTGAACTAGCCATTTAGGCACCCATATCCAGAACTGAAGGGAAGGTCAGTACTCATAAATAGCGTTTCCAAGTCCACCCACCTGTGGGCTTCTTGTGGTGGGTGCCATTCCACTATCTGCGCCAGCTGGGCTGATAATTGGAGAGGTGGAGATTGGGTAATCCCAAGCCTCCTCTACTTTTGGGTATATATATAGGGTTTGTCTTGCTATGCAGTGTCGCTTTCGTGCCCATATAAAGTAATCTATCGCAGTTTGTAGCGTTTTTAGGTCCCCCTTGTTACTTTGATGGGTAGTGCTTGGAAGAGGAACAATAGTCGCGGCAGTAGGTTCATTTTAATGCTGTGAAGGCGTCCTATCCACGAGATGGGTTTCTCATGCCACGTGTCTAGATCTTGTAGTAGTGTGCATATGATGTGCGAGTGGTTTTCAGTATATAAATCATTGGGGTTCGCCGTCAGTTTGACGCCTAGGTATTTAATGGGGGGGTAATTTTTCTCAGCCAAGCCTCCTCTACATCCGACATCATCAGAGGCATTCCCACAGATTTGTCAATATTAATTTCATATCCGCAGACCTGCTTGTATGTCTCCAAGAGCTTTAGTAGACAAGGGACCAAAACTTTTGTGTCTGTGAGTGTGAGCAGGACATCACTCTTTTTTTTCGCGCTCTTCAGTCCTTTTATTTGTGTGTTTGTCCTAATGAGTGCAGCAGTAGCTCCAGAACTAGAATAAACAGGAGGGGGATAGAGGGCAGTCCTGTCGTGTGCTGTTCCCCAGCATACAAGGGTTGGGGATTTGCTCCTGGCAGTATGGTTTGGGCTCTGGGGTGTTTGTAGAGGGCTCTGACTGCCGTTACAAAATCGGTTGGTTGGGGAATATGATGCAGGAGAGCAACAACATAGTGCCACTGGACTCTGTTGAACGCCTTCTCTGTGTCCAGGGAAAGAACCAGAGAAGGCGTTTGGGATCTCCCTGCCCACCACATCAGGTCAGCCACCCATCTTGTGTTTTCGTATAGCTGCCTAGTGGGCACAAAGCCCACTTGGTCTGCATGTATATAGTGAGTGAGAAGTGGGTTTAGGCGTGTGGCCAGTAGTTTAGCATATATTTTAAGATCAAAGTTTATGAGGGAATAGGGGTGGTAATTTGCAATATTGGTTCCATCCCTCCCTGGTGTAGGGATGAGTGTAACATCTGCTGTCGACAGGTCCAGATTTGGTCCTTCCTCCTCCATCCATGTTCTATACATTGTAGTCAGGTTGCGTAATAGTTCCTCTCTGTACTTTTTATAAAAGGCTCCGTCAAACCCATCAGGTCCTGGAGCCTTGTTTCCTTTCAGCCCTGTGATTGCTCTGTCTACCTCTTCTGCTTCTATGGGCGCACCCAGGGTGCTGCCAGTTCCCCTTTCAATCTCAGGAGCTGGGCTTTGTCCAAGAAGGCCGCCACTGCCACCGTGTGTGCATTTTTTTTACCTTTCATCATGGGGGAGTGATTTTAAATGTCCGTAAAGAAGTGCGTAAATTCTGCATTTATGTCTTTGGGAGTGTTCAGCACTATCCTTCGTGTGTTTTTAATAGCAGTTATCATGTGGGTTCTGATTTTGGGTCTAAGGACTCTCTCGAGCAAGGTGTCCATTTTATTGGACTTCTTGTAAAATAATCTCTTTCAGCAGACCATATCTTTGCTCCCCTCTTCAACCATTAATTCCCTTATCATACGTCGGGTCTCACTGAGTTCTAATGCCGTGGTCGGGGTCGCTGCTTGTTTATGTTGTGTTTCAGTATTACGCAATTGTTTTTGCAGTTCTGTTAATCTATTGTATTTGTTCTTTTTTTGTTGGGTAGCGATTTTTATGAGGAGTCCGCAAAGGACTGCCTTATGCGCTGCCCATAGCGTTGTGGGAGATATGTCGGGGATTGTTTTTTTTTGTTTGTTTTTTTAATTCTTTATTTTAGAAGTGCAGGTTTGTACATATTTGCAGGCAGTGCCACAACGACAGCTGCGAGCTCTTTGTTTCATAACATAATATAACATTAGTGTGGCATACTGTAGCAGACATTGGCACAATTTTACATTTTATATTGTTATATTGTTAACTGCAGGTTGATCCACTATGGTGTTCGGGAATGAGAGGTCTCTACCTGGGATGTTCAACGCATTGTGAAAACCTAGTGTGCGCTAGTGGATGAGAGTTTAGTAACAGAAAAAATTAATAGTAAGGTGTCAGCGAGTAGTGAACTCCCTGTGGAGTGTAGGGTGAGGTGTGACTAGGAGTTAAGGGGTGTCTCGGGTCTTGTTCCTTTTGCAGTGCATGAGGGTATACTTGCGGATCAATTGAGTGGCAAGAGTGTAGCACTCACATCGGTCATTTATTAGTGCTGTTGTAAGAGAGGCAGGTGAGTGGGGGGGTGATAAGGGAGTGTACTCCCTTTGCCAGCGTGTGTCTGACGAGTAAAGTAGTTGCGTGAATGTGTAGAACAAACATTAGAAAACCGAAGGAATTAAAGTTGAATAAACCACATAACCAGCATTAACAAATATAAGGCATAGTCACTGGTTGCAGTTCGTGGCCGTTCAGGGCACAGCAGTAGTGGCAGAATCACCCCGCAGAGCAGCAGGAACAAACTGGCAGACCCTCGAGGGGTCCCAGGTGCTCGGCTGTGTGACTGGAGCTGAGGTCGGCAATCCCTCTGGGGTGGCTGGTAGCCCAAGTTTCTGTAGAGTGTTGGGTATGTCTTCAGCACTTTCCAGCACTTTCAGTGTCCCAGATTCTTGGGGGATCAGAAGGCTCCTTGGTGTTCCCCATCTATAAAGCACCTTGAATTGTGTAAGTACTGCCATTAGGGGTCTCAGGGACCTTCTCCAATCTAAGGTCGCTCTAGAGAGGTCCGGGTAGAAAGTCAATTGGTGTTCCTCAAATGAGTAGGGCGATTTGTTACGAGTGGCTGACATGAACGCCTGTTTGTCAGGGCCATTTCTGAAGCGGATTATGACGTCCCTATGCCCTCCTCTGGCACTTGCAGGTGGTGCTGGGAGTCTGTAGCAGCTATCTAGTTGCATCAGTTTGGCTTGTTTGGCTGAAAATAGTTGGGTCAGGAGCCTCCGGATTAGGTGGGGTATTTCCGCTGTGGTAACTGTATCAGGTAGGCCGCGGATCTTTATATTCTTCCACCGCCTCCGGTATTCTGCTGCGGCCATGCGGTGTTGTATCTTTGCTTGCTCGCACTTCAGGGCGGTGAGTTCCCGCTATAGTACTGTGAGTTTCGTCTCGGGGCCTGCTGTAGTCACCTCCGTGTTGTGGAGACGGGCTGAGACTCCTCTGATTTCATCCTTGAACGTAGAGATGTCAGTGGCGATGTTGCGTCATAATTCGTCCAGGAAGGCCTTTAGGGTGTTTTCTGTCAGCGGCACCCCAGGTTGTCGGTCAGACCGTTTGTCAGCCCTTTTACTATGTGCCGGTGCCTCCAGGTCTCTCAGATCGGTGAGGGAAGTTTCGCTGGATGAGCACGACGGCCCATCTGTGAGAGGCGCCATGTCAGGCCTCATGGAACTCTGGGGCCTCCAAACGAGATCGCCGATATTGGCAGTTGTCATGGGCTTATCCGCCTGGTATTTTTTCGATTTGCGCCCCATCGTAGTTGCACGCTATAGCCCGTCTTTGGGCAGGATTTTCAGGTCAAAACTGGGATTTTTTTGCACTTTTGGGTGTTCGTGTAGCTGGAGCTCTCGCAAGACGCGTCCGTTCACTTAGGCAGCTCGTCAGGGGTTGTTTTTGTCTAAAATATTGTTGGGTTTCCTACTGAATTTGCTCTGTAATTATATTTCTAAGGAGGTAATCATTTAGTCTCCATCGCCATGGATTGCTTGTTCCTGGAATTCGCAGGGACAGGGCTATGTTCGCATGGTCAGACCAAGAGTAGAACGTACATTTGGGGTTTCTTGCAGTGAACTGTGCGAGTAATTGCTAAGAGCAATTGGCCACTTTAACTTATGCATTTCCACTAAAACAAATCTGATTTCATAAGCCAGAGCAAAATAAACCTATAGGCTCTAATTAAGTCACATTTTACAAAACAAAATCTGGTATAAAACACCCTTACTACTGGCATGCCGTTGTTTTTTTGTAATGAACTCATAAATATATCTGGTAAAATTGTGAAAGGTGTATCAGTTGTGTTCATATACCTGACATAAGTGGATACTGACAAAACTGGCAATGGCAACATGTAAGTCCATGTTTCATTGGCAAGGGTCTTTGAGATGGCTGATCCTACAATGCTGTTCCAGCTTGGGCAGATAGTGGATCTGTCTTTCACATTGGAGCAACCGATCCAATCTTGCACCATGTTGGGGAGAGCTTTTGTAACTGGTGCTCTTTTTTTGTCCAGTGGTGAGTCCCCAGGTAGGAAGCCCCAGAGCTTAAGGAGCCTGGTGCCTACCTCCAGCATCAAAACCAGGCACAAGGTGCCATTTCTCCAGATTAATTGTTTAGTCGGGTACCCTATTGATAAATGATGGAATTTTTTTTCTCAGTATGTTGGTAATTAAATTTTTTTCTCTTTAGCAAGTGATAAGTCTGCAAATATTACCAGTGTGTTTTATGGTGCTCGGAAAGAGCAAAGCTTGCATGCTGCTAACATCAGGGCAAGCTATTGTATCTCATGTCACCTCTGTACGTATATTTCTAAAATTTTGCCATCTGTAAATCCTATCAAGGAGACAATCAGTATCGGACAATGATGGCAGGACAGCCTTGAAGAAGGTATTGCTGTAATTCTTCTGCAGTCACCGTTTCAGGTATGCCTAATGTTATTACATCTGACTCGATCTTCTATATAAGCTAATTTTTGTAGGATGTAGGATTGTGTTGTTTCCATTGCGATTACCGTGTCGATGGCTTCATTGTGTGCAGAACTCAGCTTGTCCATTCCCCCTCCAAATGATCTGTCCTCTCTTGCAGGGCCTGCAGATCTTTGCGCATTTCAGTTGTAATGGATCAAAAGTCCTCCTGTATGGGGTTGCGCAAGTATTCTCTGAGGCAGGTTTGTCTTGGATATCTGTGATAGAATCTCCAACTCTGATGCAGTGTTGGAGCTAGACGAGGAAGCACCTGCACAAAGCCATCTTGGGCCTGAAGTAGCTGGTCTAATTTTCTTTGGCCCGTTGGTCTTGAGTGTAAATGTTTATTTTGCTGGTTGGGAGCCATTGTCACAAAAGGCTTCTGAGTGTGTCTTTATGCTGCTAGCCGCTTTGGTCTGTACTGTCGACGGAGCTCTGTTTACATGCTGTTTGCTTGCGTGGTCAGGACACGTGCACATTCCTAAAAAAAAAATTTAAAGTGATTTTTGCACTTAAGATGTTAGTCTCCGTCTTTCCGTTTATCAGAAGCCTGTTTGAAATTGTCACAGCGTACTTAAATTGTCACCATCAAATCCATAAATACAGTATCAGTATTTAAAATGTATTAATTTATTAAAATTAGCAAATTACCATGTTTATTGTCCATTTTTGTTTAATATGACTTATTCCTCTTGAATTTCAGATTTTATGCGGATATAGAAATTACTGTATGCTCTAAATGTATAAGCATTCCTGTATTACTAAACATTTCTATTAAACTCCTGTGCACTGAGCAGAATATGGCATTGTGATTAATAATAAGCGGACACAGGAAGTTGCCCCCTAAATCTATTTAATTTCATTTTAGGAAAGGCTTTACTTTAGCGTGATGTAAACAGGGTTGCATGTCCTACTGCAAACACAATAATACTAGTGTCAGTGAGCCATGTGAGTTGTCTCTATGGGTTGTAAATTGGATCCCCCCAGTGACCAGTTAATGTTTTCTGTATTTACGGCTGTATTTCTGTTTTCTGCAGCCATGAAGTCGCTATGGCAACATTTAAAATTTTAAAATAATTTTTAGCAATCAAAGCGTGCCAATTTTTTATAGTTAAAGGGGCTCATTTAAATTGGAAAACCTGCTAGTCTGAAATTTTCATCTGAAGGATTACCACCAGCCAGAGCTACTTGTCTGATGAGGGTTTCACATGGCTTATCTAATGTGAAATCTCCATGTGGTATATAGTTTCATTAAACGGTGATCAAGAATACATTAGTTCAAAACAAGAAAAGGCAATGGAGCTTAATCCGCCAGGCATCTTGGCGCAACAACTTTAAAAGAGTTATTGAAGTGAAACAATTTGAGAATTAAAAGTCTTCCACTTATACAAGACTCCTGTCAAAAGCTTAAAAGTCACATTTTCCCTTTTTTTCTGTTTATGACAAAAAAAAGCATTTTTGGTTCCATGGAAGCGATTTGAAATCATCTAAACAGGAAACTAGATACATGAATGTAAATTATTCTTCCTGGGAGTATACATCTAAGATTTTCATTGGCAGAAGTCAGCCTTCTGGTGCTCCAAGGGTTAACAGATTTTAAATTAGAACACAATGGATTTCCATGTATAATATATCAACAAGCACATTGATTTAATGTAATCCGTTGTTGGTTTTTATAATAGAGCCATATTATTCCAAATTCCTTAAAAATGTGGATCAGTGTTATATTTGTATGTGTTTGTTAAAAAACATTTATAAAGCAGTTCTTTCTGTATAGCTCATTTAGAAAGCATTGTACAAAGGCAGCAGATGAAACCAGTGGTCCTCAGTCAAGGAATTGGGGGCCACCAGGGAATTGAGCTTTAGGGATTATCCAGTTGTGTTCAGACAGAAATATGCATAAAATGTGGACCTCTGGTGGTCATTGAAAACTAGTTCCCGCATTGCTAAGTGTGTATCATCTGTGCTTTGCCAGATATTTGTATACCTCATGGTACTTAGCTACCTTCTAGACTGTCTGAGCATCTTGGAAAATGTACTTTGCAGATGTTAAAGGCCAAGTAGCCACCACGGCCTTAGAATCAGTAATTTAACATGCGTCACTGCGTTCTGTACTTTAATAAGAAAAAAACAACTTGCTAAAACGGAATTCACAATATTAATTGTCCAGTTTACAAATCTTTGTTTAGGGTCTTTTCCGTATTTGAAGGTCATTTTTTTAGCTATAGTATTTTTTCGGCACATAATTAATTTCTTGGTGCCATTCAAGTGGAAAAATAGGCCATGGATGAACTGACTAAGCATATATCAATAAATGTTGGAGTATAATGCATTAATTAGGTTTTACCCAGCATCTTTAAAAAAAAAAAACACTTGTGTAGCAATAGGGCATTGTTAATTGTTTTCTCAATTAAAATCAATTATGATTTTGTCAGGACAACAAATTCATTTGTTTATTTTATTCATTATAGTTAATTTCTCTTTCTCGTTACCAAGTGTCATCCTTTTGGGTTTTTAGTTTTTCTTTTTAGGGCCATTTATAGAAAGTGTAGGCCTTTTGCTCAGGTTGAAAGTTAAAATATAATAAATATGCAGGATTATGGTCTACTTGAGTCAGATATCTGCTATCCTGTGAAAATCCTCAGCAGATGTTTTTTCATTGTACATTTATAAAAAAAAGTCATGGACATCTATTGAAATGTGGAACAATGGCTGTTGTATCAGGGACTATTATAATAATACGCCTGCGATCCTATTAATGTACTGATAATGAAAACTGCGCACGGACAATAAGGGATCAGCAGCTGTCATTCATTTAGCACAAAGAAATGCTGGCTCTGTGCACACAGTGTGTATGTGTTTAATTTAGCTATTAGATAGATTAAATCTGTGCAGTCCTGAGAGCAAGAATAGATGTATATCAATTAAAGCATAACTGGCAACTAATATATTATTTAGGGAAATACACTCCAGGCACATTGTATCTTTCTACATTTTTAAAGCAAGCAGGGGTGTATTTGGTGTGCAGTATCTGGTGACGTATGACCTTGGCACATTGTCTTCTTTAATAGATGTGTGCCATACAGTTTTGTATTTAATAAAGCTTGTTGATAACCACCACCATGGATGCACCAGAGGCTTATGTAAGGGGTGTGCCCAGTCGCTTCCTAATGCTGCACCTTATTGTGTCCTGCTGCTAATGTAGGTGTCTATCCTGTATTTGGTAAACATTTTATATGAGAAGATAAATATCTTGTCATGTGACTGCTTATCACTACTGCAAAATGTAATAATGTGGTTTTTTATTTTTATTTCCAAGCTTCAGTAAATAAAGAGTAATCATTTGCACCATTAAACGC